TCTCCCCCTTTTCCTTTGGGCTGATCATCCAGCAGGTGTTTGACAATGGCAGCATCTACAACCCGGAAGTGCTTGACATCACAGTGGAAGCTCTGCACACTCGCTTCCTGGAGGGGGTCCGCAATGTTGCCAGTGTGTGCCTGCAGATTGGCTACCCAACTGTCGCCTCTGTGCCCCATTCGATCATCAATGGGTACAAGCAGGTCTTGACTTTGTCTGTGGAGACTGAGTACAGCTTCCCATTGGCTGAAAAGGTCAAGGGTTTCTTGGCTGATCCATCTGCATTTGTGGCCGCTGCCCCTGTGGCTGCCGCCTCCACTGCTGCTGCCCCTGCTGCTTCGGCCCCTTCCAAACAAGAAGCAAAGGAGGAATCGGAAGAGTCGGACGAGGACATGGGATTTGGTCTCTTTGACTAGTCACCAAAAAGCAACCAAAGCAGCCAGCTTTATTTGTGAAACAAGGAAATAAAAAGGCTTAGTTCTCTGGGGAAAAAAAAGTTGCAGATAAAACTTAAAATCTTTAGTTTACAAGGTTCTTTGAAACATAGCATGCTACACTTTCAATAACCCTTTCAAATATTTTCAAAGAAGAAAGGTAAAACTATATGAAATTCTTGTTTACTCTGCGACCACTCCGGAAAAGGCTTTAATTTTATCCTGTTTAGTTGCGTATCAAGAGAAAATGCGTGCGTGGCTCTTGAAAACAGTAGTCTTCTAGAATGCATGGATATATAATTTTAAAATAATAAGTCAGCTGAAAACTTGAAACTGTTCTGTTTAGTGGCAACATTCTGTACCATAATGGGAGATTTACCACGAATCCTCATAATGCGCTTACATTCTGGTGCGGATTTTACGAACTGGGTCAGTGGGACTACTGGTACTATAAAGTACACTATGCTTCTGCTTGGTCAAATGTAGGAGCAAGACAATTAATAAGGAGGATTTCCTCCTGTTGTTTAAATGTAGCCACAGTTCTATGAGTATATTTATAGAATTTAAGAAGTTAATTGTTGACTCTTCTAAAATGGAAATTTAAAAAAACCCAACTTCTAAGTAATGGAATAGCAGCTATTCGTGTAGTTTCTTAAGCACTGAAACTTCTATTAATAGTACTTTATTGTAAGGTCTCTGCTTATATTCTGTTGATTACATCCTTATTTACATTCCAACATTCAGGGGAAGAGAAGGCGAGAGAGAAGGGAGACAGACAGACAGTACTCAAAGCCACACAACGGACAGTTGAGCTATGGACTGCTTTCTTCCATAGGACCACTGATCTCAGCTTTTTCTTCTGCTGGGCCTGGGTGGATGCATACCTGTCCTAAGGGTTAGGTGATGCTTATAATCCCTGTTTTCTGTGTCTCAAAGCTTTGGTTGGTATGCATGTCAATCCTTTATAATTTCATGGCTATATTGAAATACACGATGAAAATGGTTAACTTTATTAAAGGAAACTTGCCAAGCAGCCAAGTCTTAAAAATATTTTATTAAGGATTTGGAGCTAACCACTTACTATGTCATGTCAGTGTTGGTTGTTATGAGAGAAAGAATTGTGTGAAGAAAGAATTTTTCAGGTTAAAAAGCAATCTCCCTTGGCAAAAATTTCCAACATATTGCCATTTGTTTCAAAAAATTTATATATTTTCACTTATTTCCAAACTTTCAAATGAAAAATGTGTCCAGTTATATTTTGGTGAAGTTAGGTGCATTGGAGTCACTCTGATGCATAGGGAGCCCATCCATGTGAGAGTAGAATTGCTCTCCAGGTTTCCTAGACTATAATCATATAGGGTTGCTAGGAGTCAGAAAACACACAACAGAGTCTTTCTGGAAGCAGATCACCAAGCCTTTTCCCAAGGAGCCACTGGGTGAGCCTCAACCAGCAGCGTTTGAGTTAACAACTGAGCACCTAGCTGTTGTGCCATCAGAACACCTTATGTTGGCATTAACTCACATGTATTTAGGCATTTTTTCTATATATCGACTAGAGTATTATCAGTGAAGAAAGTTTGAAAGAAAAAAAAAAGAAAATGTAGGCATCATATTATACTTCACTTTTCTGTTTAAAACTTTTAAATTATTTCCCACAAAATAAGCTTAAAATATTAAAGGAAACCACTTGGATAAAAGGTCTATTTATTCTTGAATCCTTTCAATCAATATCGAAGTTCAGTGTGTACTGAAAAACAAATAAATTACCATATCTATGTATATGGCCACGGAAATAATAATGCACATACATTAACAAGCACAGAATGCAGAGAACTAAAGCATGGCAGGTTGCATGGTATACAAAACTTGTATAATGCCTATGTTATTTGAATAAAAATAGGGCCTTGCATCTTAGTTCCTCATTTACTCCGAAGGACGATTACATGACACTGCTTGTTGTTATTTTGATAATAAGGAAAGATTAAAGAATTTCCTATGCTCAATAAAAAAGAATGTGTTACTATTTTTACCATCCACGACTTATTGTTTCAACTAAGATTTTCAACTCTGACACAATAAAAAACAAAGGAATAAAGCAGACTAAATATGAATCTGGTAAGTGCATAATATTGCCCTTGTGTTATTAGGACTAAATGAATTTATGAACAAGAAAGATTACCCATTGCATTAAATTCAATCTTCTTTAATTGTAGCTTTTTATATGATTTATTTGGGGATTTAATATGTATTTAAATAATATTTGATTTTAACTTTATGTTTTTAGTTTATCACACATAGGTAAGAATAACTATTGCCTTATGAAACTTCTGTTTTAGTTGTGTGTGTGTATTGTGATATCAAAGTATTCCTTACCATGGGTGTTAATAAAAAAGTTTAAAAGCTGACCTGTAGTATAAAGAAAGGAGGACTTGATTCAATAGGTACCCCTATTCTCTTACTAAAAGGGTTAAGACCCTTAGGATTTGTGTGTGTGTGTGTGTGTTCTACTAGGGGGTACCCAAACAACCCGGAATGCCCCTCACCCAAAGCTATATATTTAAAGTTTTTTTACAAAACCTTAGCACCTTCAAAGTGCTCTCGATTGCATTTAATACATTTGTCAAATATGTGATTCCATTCTTTGAATCAGTTTTCAAATTCATTTGTTTTGGATGGCTGTAGCACCTCCCTTATTGTTTTTCTTCACTTTTTCTAGTTGTCACATTGGTGTCCTTTCATGTCCCTCTTCATAT